TTTGCATTTCAGATGGCTTTGCAGTGGCGGTGTTAAAATCCCTGTGTGGTATAATTGACTGCCATAAATTGCAGCATTATTTTTCTTGTACAACTTCACTAACTGAATACAGAGTTCTGCACATTAAAAAATAAAAAAAAGTTGAAGACTGCATTAACCCTGAAACTACTGCCCTAAAATAATGCTTAACCTTAACCAAAAATATCCCCTGATATCTTAAAACCAAACAGTTGTTGTTGTTGCTATAGGTGCCATCGAGTCAGTACCAACCCATAGCGACCTTATGCATAGCAGAACGAAACACTGCCCGATCCTGGGCCAACCTCACTGTCGTTGCCACGCTGGAGTCCATCGATGCTGCTAGTTGGCCAGTCCATCTAACTGGGGGTCTTCCTTTTTGTCTCTGAAATCCTCCACCATACCAAACATGATATCCTTTTCTCCCAACTGGTCCCTCCTGACAATATGTAATATGTCTGAAGTATGAGATGAAATTTGGCTATCCTGGTCTCCAAGGAGCACTCTGGCTGCACTTCTAGTTTAGCTTAAGTAGTTAAAGAATGTATACCTTAAGCATGGTCTCTTTGGGATCAAATTGATGACAGCAACTCCAAAGATTCAATAGGAAGCTTAAGGGGATAGTGAGTTTGGTAATGGGGGAAGAATAGCTTGGAAAAAGAGGATGAGAATGTCACTGAGCTATGCAAGTTTTTTTGGTTTTCGATTTTTTAAAGTCAATTTTGTAAAATAATGAATTACTGCAAATTATGTATTTATGAGTATTTGGTAAACATAAAATGAGTTACCTGCTTTTAATAAGAGGCTTTCTTTCTTTCTTCTAGAATTCTGTTTGACTTCAAACATCAAAAGTCAGACAGTACCTTCTTATGATCAACATCATTTTGGATACTGGTACAGCATTGCCCATCCCTCTGTGATCTGTGTAAGATGTTTTGTATGTTATTTCTATTTAGTCCCTGAGTTGTATTAAGTCAGATGTTCACTACTTAGCTGACTTCCACTCCTTGCATGAATGAGGGAAACGCTCAAGTAGAAGGATGAGAGGTGGTTGGGGCATGAGAGAGAAAAAACAACACCTGGTGCTCAGCACCCATCTGTTGTGATTCTGCTTTGCTCTATATGCACTCACTCTGAGCATGGAGTTTTGTTTTGTTTTTTTAAACTCTCTGGATGATTTTAATACGCACCTAGGTTTGAGGACCACTGCTTTGCAGTTTTTGTTTTAAAGTATAAACAAATCAGTGTAATTAGAGATAATTGTCCAACTTTTGCATTTATGGGTACCTATGTAGATTCTTGGAAGATGCATGCTAAATAGGAAAATAAGCCCTAAGCAAATAGGTTGTTTTTTAAAAAATCATTTCCTTATTCATTTTGAAATTTTTTTGCTTATATTGGCAGACTGATGATAAGGGTGTTTTTGCAACAAGCCTTTCTCAAGAGTATCAGCTAGCAGCAGAAACATTTAATTTGACTCAGTCCCAGGTGTGGGACCTGTCATATGAATCTATCAACTACATCTTTGCTTCGGACAGTACGAGATCTGAACTAAGGAAAAAGTGGAATCATCTGAAGCCCAAAGTGTTACATTTTTAAGGTGTAATAAGGTGAACTACTCTCAAGTTATGTGTGCAGCAAGATCTCCTTGCAATATTCCACTTAGTAAATCATCCTCTACTTCCTTTGAAGCATAAAATACCTTGGGCTCCATGGTGTGCAGTAAGTATGTATGAAATTTACTAGCAGGCTCTTATGTCTTACACGGCTTACTAACATGTTTCCTGCTGAAAGGACTTGCTGATTACTCCATGTAGATTCTTTTTCTTTTTTTTTAATTTAGCAGTTTCTTCCCATTGTTGTTAGGCACTATCTATTTGGTTCCAACTCATAGCTACCCTCTGCACAACAGAATGAAACTGCCTGGTTCTGCACTATCCTCACAATTGTTATGTGTGAATCTCTTGTTGCTGCCACTGTGTCATTCCATCTCATTGGAGGGCCTCCTTTTTTTCACTGACCCTCCACTTAATCAAAGGAGCTCTGGTAGCATAGTGGGTATGAATCGGGCTGCAAACCTTAAGGTTAGCAGTTCGAAACTACCAGCTGTTCCGCAGGAGAAAGATGAGGCTTTCTGCTCCTGTAAAGATTTACAGCCTTGGTTGCTATGAGTCGGAACTGACTCCACGGCACATAACAATAACCACTGTACCAAGAATGATGTCCATCTCCAAGGATTGGTCCTTCCTGACAACATGCTCGAACTATAAGAGACGAAGTCTTGCCATCCTGGCTTCTAAGGAGCATTCTGGTTGTATTTCTTCAAACACAGATTTGTTCGTTTGGGCAGTCCATGGTACAGTATTCTTCACTAACACCATAATTCAAATGCTTCAATTCAAGTCTGGCCTAGATGTCTTCTAGGATCTTCCTTTTTCATTGTCCAGTATGCATATGAAGTGATTGAAAATACCTTGTCTTGGGTCAGGTGCCCTTAGTCCTCAAAGTGACATCTTTGCTCTTCAACACTTCAAAGAGGTCTTGTGCAACAGATTTGCTTAATGCAATATGTCATTTGAGTTCTTTACTACTGCTGTTGAGTGTTGAATGTGGATCCAAACAAAATGAAGTTTTGATAACTTCAGTGTTTTCTCAGTTTATTTATCCAGTTGTAAAGATTTTTGTTTTCTTTACATTGAGATGCAATCCATACTGAAGGCTGTAGTTTTGATCTGCATCAGTATTTTCCCAGTGATGATTATAAAGGAAAATCAAAGTGATTTCTCAAGAGGACAAATTTTAGTGTCTAAATAACATGAGGAAAGGGGAAAACATTGCTACCAAGCCTGTTAGCCTTCTAGCTCATGACAACAGTTCTGCAGGTTGTTGTGCTTGAATCAGACTGTTTACTTGCTCTATCTGTGTAAGTATTCTTCAAGACTGCTGACTTCAGGCTATACTGCCCACAGTGCATTTATGTGAACTCCCAGCAGTCAGGGTTAATGCACTTTGAGGTGACCCTAGTGACAGATAAAGCCAGCTGCTGAGAAATGACTTTATTCTTGTAATTCTTGTAATTGTATCATCAGTACTTGAAAAGAATGGAAGTCTCTGCTCCAGTTTTGATAATATATCTAATTTTTAAAGTGATTGTAAACTTTATAACCCATTTTT